ATTGGAACGCTGAGAAGTAATCGTGCGGGATCAGGCAGCGAAGTTGTTCAAAAAAATCTTAGACGTAGCGAAGTTTACGGACTGCAGAATAAAGACGGCGTAAAACTGATCATGTGGAAAGACAAAAAAGATGTCTTGATGGTATCCACAAGACCGTCGCATTCAGCAACTGTGGTAGGTACTGGGAATACCAATAGTAAAAATGAACGCATCATGAAGCCACAAGTTGTACTCAATTACAATGAAGGAAGATTAGGTAGTGATTTATCTGATCAGCTATCATCCTATTACACGTGTCTCAGGCGGTCGATAAAGTGGTACCGAAAGGTAGCATTTGAATTAGTTTTTGAGACGGCACTAGTAAATAGCTATTTGATATACAAGGAAAAACTACACGGCAAGCAAAGTGACCATTCTGCAGTTTCGTGAATGTCTTGTACGATCTTTACTTCTTGGTATGCCATTCGAGAAGCTGAAACCTGGTCCGAGACAACAATCAACCAGCCATTTGAAGCGCAAACTAGCTGATCACAAGGTCGAAGAAAAGAAAGGATCTGACCGCGATGTCCGAAGACGCTGTGTTGGTTGTTACGAGAAAAATAGGGAACAACAATCAAGAGAAGCGTGCCATTCAACAACAAAGAGAATAGAAACTTTCTGTTCTGATGGTAACAAATTTTTTTGTCTTCATTGTTTTAACGAGAAGCATTATGCTATGTAACAAATGATTTTGAAAATAGCGAAGGCAAAGCAGATCGCACATTATGTGTAACCTTCCGCCTACGAACAAAAGAAAAGAAAGTGTTTTTCTATTAAGTTTCTTGTTAAAATATAGTGGGGTCCACCGGTGGACCCTATCGGGTCCAATGGGCTAAGGTACAACTATGGTAATAGTATGACTTTTACATCATTCATATAAACCGACAGATGGGATATTCTTATTTCAGCATAGAAACAAACCAAAAGACCTGAAACTTTCACAATAAATAATACTCACTGATGTATGTCTCTATGTGAAGTTTCAAGTCGAAATTCTAAAATCGATTTTTCTATTATCACAGGATTTATCTAAAAGATACCGCAAATGTGCAATATCTCCGCAGCAATAAGCTAAAAATATGAGCTCTTTTCAAGGTATTCATAGCTCCGCTCCTTTGAGTCTACATAATGCACATGTTCTCCATTTATAAGTGATTTATTAGTTGGAGAACTTATCTCGTAAGATAAGTAACAGTGATACTTTGAAATTGAACAAATTTTTAATTCGTTCTCTATTAAGCAATACTATGATGAACATAAGGCACTAGAATCAATACTTGATCAATGCATATAAATTTCATGTTTGTTTTTTTAATGAAGTTTTTTAAAAGATGCTTGATATTCAATAAAGTGTATGACTCTGTTGTTACTTGATTTCATTGTTTTAGTCTTTTTCTTTCTGATTTTTTAACGTAGCGTAAAGTAGAAAAATGCAATTGTTTCGAGTTTAGACAAGCTACTTTATGAAGAGTTTCATGGCAAATAGAACAAGTTTCAATAGAACTATTTATTTTACTTTGTCATTAGGATAGAATTGCGATGTGATATAGTAACAACTCAAAAGTAGCAGTCATCTATCAAACAGATAATCTTTACAAATATAATTGTTCATTATCGAATAAAATTATTCATTACTTTGTTTACTTGAAGCAATAAAAAAGTAATTATTTCAATATTTGGAATAAACGTTTCTGTCATGCACATGCCTTTCAGTAAAAGAGTGCGCACGATCACAAACAAAATTTATAAAACAAAATTTTATTGTTATAAGCAAACAAATATCTGATCCATATGTTAATCATGATTTCTGCTTGATACTGTTTTAATCATTGGGCATATTATTTGCCAAACACAAAAATGATATTGATGGACATCAATAAAGTACATAAAACAGTAGTTTACTCTTATTTTGCCATACTGATCATGGTAGCGAGGAAGCAAATGTAAGTAGCTATAACAATTATTTATAGTCAATAGCCTTTAGAGTTTGTCTATTAATTAAAGATATCTATTTCCTTATATTGTACAAACATTGGAACATTATGTGTGATAATACAATATGAGTTATGTAGTTACATTCAGTAACTTATTCATTTATTTTAGCAACAGTAAACAGTTTTTCAGCTCATCAAATAATGTCAGTATAGATAAAATACTCAAGATAATGGCACAAAGTAATGTTTATTCTACAGCTTTTGAACAATTCCCTGGGATTCATCAGTACATGAATCTGTTTAAGTTTGTGGAAGACTTATAACCTCGTATTCAGTTAATAGACATCGAGAGAAAAATATCTTACTTAAGCATATATCAAAACGAATATTTCTAACAAGAATTAATTTCTTATTTCGAAATCAACAAAATAATTTCTACTTTGACATAACGGTTTTACATTTAAGCTAACCTTATTTTACTATAACTTGGAATGTCAAAGACAAAGATATTCAAAACAACTCGATAGCTCTCAAAAATCTCTGAGAATCGTTTTTATCGATAAGCAGTTCAAATTTTCTTGGGTGTCTTCCACAACTATGCATACATCATCCATGTATTGATTGACCCTAGGATTAGTGATCTTCAGCAAAAAGTCAGCAGATTTAGCATTACAGAATTAAAATTTATTTTACATCAATCAGTTACTGCCCTAATATGAATAAGAAGTATTTGAGAAATAAGTCACGTGACATAGATTAATTTAACCAATAGAAAACGGTCTTAAACACTTTATTCTTCAATTTTAACATTCTCACAAAAGTAAAATATAATTGGAAAGGGTGAAACTGAAGCTAGCATCAGAGAAAAAAATACTGACGAGTATGCCATCCTTAGTACGTTTGCAAAATTGACAATATTTTTTGCAATCGATTGTGATTCAGAATGTTAACAATAGCAAGTCAACATAAAGAAGAGAGTCTTTTCGCTTATTTTGACCCAAGGTAAGACCTAATGCTTGCTATCTAGAATATAAAAAAGTAAAAAAGCAATCTTTGCTATATTATTATGAAATATATGCTTTTATGAGAATAAACAAAACCATGCAGCAACTAGTAGCACTCCTATGTCTTGGTAAGATTCTTACAAATTGATTATTATAAACGTATGCACTCTCTAATGTTCTCCGTAGTCCTTAATTACATATCATATGTGCATACACAAACATTATACCAGTGCAACTTTGATAGTGCTGTTGCACTTGATAATTGTTTCACAACAACAATATCTGTAGTTTCAAACGTCGGAAATCCAACCAATATAGCGCCAAATGGAGCTTTATCAGATGTCACCTCGAGTTGTAAGAACAATTTATATTACATTATTTTGTTCTATAAATACTGAATATTCCTGTTGATTTAGTGACGCCAACAGATAATGGAGAAGTATGCAAATTACCCCATAAAGTCGGCACATTCAATTGGGACATGTATTTTTGTAATAAAGGCACTTGTCCAACTGCAAGCAGTTCAAATAGTACATGTAAAGCAGGTTGGTTTATTGTCTGATAAATCCTATCTATTCATTTATTTTTACATCATTTTATTTCTTTCAGGCAAATTTGGTTCTGTACAATTAAGTAATAATGATAAAAAATCCTATCAACTTAAAACTGAATCTGGTGGAATCAATGGTGTAGGCCAGCAATGTCTTATTTATTACTATTATATGGGTGCTGGAAGCACGAAAATTATCACCGTCAATAAGGTGGAAATGAGTGGTAGTAGTCAGATCATTGATTCTGTCACAAGCAGTCCATTCAATGGATGGATACAGCGTAAAATATCTTTCACTGCTGAAGCAAATGGTTATAAAGTGTGTGATATTTCTGAAAATACATATCGTAGTAGCTGCTTTATTTAATGATTTATGTTTTAGTTGAATTTCGAAGCACAAAGAACAGCTGGATTCCAAGCACCTTATATAGGATTTGACGAAATTTCAATTCGTCAAGGAAGTTGTGGTATGTAGACATTGAAGATAACGAGACTACTGTTCAGTGACAATATGTCTAGAGGACGAGCCCATAACTTCTGGCTCCACTACAGAAACTGCAACACCTATTCAGACAACTACAACAACAATGTCAACTGAGACCACCAAAACAACAGCGATGCCAGTCGAAACAACAACAACAACAACTACACCCGAGCCAGTCGTGACGACAACAACCACACTGGCTGAGACAACCACAACCATAACAACAACCACCGTAACGATAACCACAACAACCACCGTAACGACAACCACAACAACCACCGTAACGACAACCACAACAACACCCGAACCAATCGTGACGACAACAACCACAACAACTGAGACAATCACAACCACTACAACAACACCCGAACCAGTTGTGACGACAACAACCACACCAACTGAGACAACCACAACCACAACTACGACAACTACAACAACACCCGAACCCGTTGTGGTTGT